ATATATATGTGGTCCTTGAATCTTAAATTATGCAATTTGATTCTTTTTCTGTAAATCAAATATAAAGAGATTTTTAAAGATCTGAAGTTTTGACCTTTTTCAATGAAAATAATCTACAAAGTAATTAATCACATAAGTGGCTGATGGTTAAGATGTATGTTTAATCAGGTTGCCAAGCAAAACTGTCAAATATTTGCTTGCTTCAGCTATGAAAATGTGAGTGTGACTAGAAAATCTTTAGTTTTTAGATTATTGGTCAGATGAAATAGCAATTAAAAGTTTTTGCCATGTGCTCTAATCCAGAGATTCTTAACTCATGGGCCGCGTCCCACGCCACCTTGAGGGCCTCAAAAGAACAACAGTTTTTAACTTTGGGCCGCAGAGGGCCGCGGGACCACAATGATTTTGAATTAGGTGCAATACACTTTCTCACCACAAGTAGCGGTAGTGCGCCACTCAGATGTTTAACAACTTTTTTATTCCGTAGAAGAAGAACCTTAGAAACCTGCCGAGAATGGAAACCTATTTTAAACTGAAAGTAGAAGGCAAAAATGAAGGCAACCCATCAAAAAAATGCCAAAGTTTGTCACTAATATGAAGTGCAGCCTCTGGTTCTATAATGCAATATTTTAAAAGTTCAAAACATTATCAAACACAGTTGCAGATACAACTATATTTTAATTTTCACTTCATAAAATTAATTTTTGATTTATTTTTAAGAATTTTCTCAAAAAGCTGTTGTTACTGTTATTGTTTGTCACTAATATGACAAGCAAATTAAGCACAATACAAATTAAACCAAGATTTAGAATAATTATTTTGATCCGTATGGTAATGTGTGACTGGGCCTCGTGTCGCTTTACGTTAAACAAATTGGGCCCCGAGGTCAAAAAGGTTAAATAGAAACAAACATTTTTGATTATTTTCTCCGCTTATTAGTGCTAAAATAGAGGGCAGGTGACTTACAGTCATTCCTACTTGCGTTTAAAGCACTGTGGTTGCGTGTAAGTACAGGAAAGTGACAAGTTAAGCTCTGCAGAGACTCCATGCTGCAATGAGAATTACAGTATATCTGATCCAGGCCAGCCTAATCCAGTCTGCTGTTCTGCTGATGTTTCGTGCACAGAGGGAGACACAAACATCAGTGACACACACACACACACACACACCTCTGTACTAAGATATGTAACACAAACATACAAACACATGCAGGAAACACATTCATGAGAAGCTTCAGGACCATCATTATTCACATCACTGCTGAGTTACCTGACAGCAGGGCAGCTCTTCAAGCTAAATAAGAGACGCAGACGTTTTTCATGAAGGCTCTCAGCAGATTCATTGCCTACATTGCTCTGGCACTTGTCACTCAATGAGAGACTGCTCATATCTCTGAAGTGGAAAATATATATTCCAGGAAATGGGCCCATCTATTAGCTGTGAGTATTTTAGACAACAATGGTACTGGGATTTTCTTCTTGTGTCTAGTGTTTGTCTCCTGCAGTTGTTAAAGCTAAAATGTTTGCTTAGAAATGTATTCATGGGTTGTCTTATTTAAAAGCAAAAATCATATTAGAATAAATTGATACTCATGTCATCTCTTGAATGCAGTAGGACTAATATAAATATAATGGAGGGATATTCTTGAGTTACAGGTTTTTTTTTGTTGAGTGGACGTGAAACAGACTTTTAGGAAATGTCACTCAGGTGGAGGCAATATGGCAAAACTATCATCTCACAATTTATGCTTTCTAAACAGAATTTATGGAGTTTGAGCTTGTCAACTTGTGCTTGACATATAAAAATGAAAATCCCAATATGTTTCAGAGTAAATACACACAGTAGAGAAAATAGTGCAACTATTGTGTTGGATTATACGCGTCCTTTTTGACACATTAATGACTGTTTTTTATGATTTAAAGTAGTTTTTATGCTTTTTAAAGCTTTGTCGTAAAACTTTATTTAGAGGTCGAACAATATGAGCTTTTCTTTTGTCTGCATAGATGCCGATCTATAGAAACAAGGCAAAATATAACAAAATGTAACAATTGCTCAATTTCAATGGAGATATTTTTAACAACCCTAGAACAAGTTAAGCATCTAAAAATCAAACCGAAACCACCCTCGCTTAAATTCATACTAATAAAAAAAAGTTTAAAAAAATTATAGGATTATTTTAAAGTTGATAGTATTGTCCATTTAAAATTGTTAAAAAAATAATCTCTCGCTCTAGTTTTATTTATATCTTAGTCCTACAAAGTCTGTAATAAACTCGCATCTTGTTTCTGCTGATGTTTTTTCATGTGGACGGGTTAACGGAAATGATAAGCTAATGTTAGCTCAAGTTATCTGAAGTGATAGGCTTACACAGATAAGCTTGTGTTTGCCAAAACTTAATATCATCCTTCCGCCCACTGCAAGTGTTTCAGTGTTTTCTCTTATTCACATTTTAGACTATAAACAGCAGCTTCTCTTCAATTTTGAACTAAAATAGTGATGAACTCTCCGGCTGGTTTAGAAATGTTAATTCAAGWCGTCTTCAGTTACTTACTGTTGGTGAATTGCACAGAATCAGTGAGCTATTCCACTGAACCAGCAGCTTTAGGAGCCATTTAACAAAAAGATAAACCTTAAAAAAAAACAAGGGTGTAATATTGTTTTCAGAGCATTTCCAGTTCCTCCGGACCTATCTGATTCATGTTTCTCATTTTCCCCAAATTGTTTAGAGATACAGATAGCTCAGAGAGGAGAGCTGAGGAGATGATGTATTTTTGTGGATGGCTTAAATTGTGCCTTAAAGTGCTTTTTGTGGTTTGAAATGTTTTTTTTTCTTTTTCCTTTTTTTTTTATCCAGCCAAGATGCTGTTGCGGCGATATGCCTTCAGCCGCAGGATCTTTAGGCTGAACTAATATTCACTTCACTAGAACTAGTGAATAACCATCATCAACTTCCAGTGCGTTGAATGAAAATTCAGTTCAGGCGCAGTGAGGCGTTTTAGAGACGACTATCCAAAGGTTATATTTAGGGAAGATAAAGCAGCTGTCAATGTTTCAAAGTGATATAGGCTCTGAGTTGAAACATAGAAGTGGAATATACCTCATTATGTTACATAGTTTTGAGATAAAAATGTCTTTTTCTGAAAATCAGGGGAAATAAATCTTTTTTTACTCTATTACAGGGTTGAGTTTTAAAAAATGGATCCATAGGACCATTTTCGATCATATATGATGCCAGAATAAACAATTCGGCTTCATTTTGACCATATTTTAAGACTCCCTGTGGATTGTGTTTATCTGTGCTCACAGTTTTGCAGATTTAAAACTTAAAATTGTCTGCAACATCATGTTACTCACTGTTTACTCCTGAGAGACTGCAGCATCCTACATATTTTATGCAAGTTTGTTGAAGGCACTATTCTTGAGATTTTTCTTCTTTGAAAGCACAGCRGAGTGATCGATTAGAGAAGAAAAAAAATGTTTMGACTTGAAATGTTCAGTACATCTARATGTGTTAAGTGGAGACGTTGGAGCAGCTTTCTGCATGAATGTAATTACTGTCGGAGGCTTTTTGCCCTGCAGTGAGAGCAGAACGGACCTGGGCTTGTTAAGCCTGGCCTGGCTTGCATTGTCCTTGAGGGCAAACTGCTGTTAGCATGCTAATGGCTCCACCTGTTTCTGCCATGCTACTAGCGCAAGGGCAGAAGCAAGGAAACACTCAAATACACACACACACACACACACACACACACA